TAATTGTGGGGAGGGAGATGAAAAAGAACTTTCTCCACTTATGCTACACACTACAAATTACACTCCTAATAACCTCTCTCCACCTCCTTTGACAACAAAATCACTATTTTGTACAGGAGGACAATGTATCCAACAGCAAGCCATGACCTACAAGATACTGTACTTAAAACAACCCACTTAATTTCCTGGGCTCCCTTGCAGCCAGGAATACCCATCTGACATGTGACAAAATTGTGCCCCTGCTCCACTATCCACCGCCCCCCCCCAAAAAAAAATAACTAAGAAGAAGCTTCTTGAGGGAGATTCTGAAAGACTTGCATTCCAGATAAAAAGTGACAGATATATCTGGCACTAATCTCCCCACTCTCATCTTCCACTCTCTCCTTCTCTCCTTGAATATAGATGTGCCATCTAGAATTTTAGGAGAGGGAGAGAAATATTAGTGTGAGTTAGAAACACTGAATATCTGTTGCCTTTCATATGCACCCCAACCAAGAGTGAACCGGCAACCTAAGCATTCATCCTTACCAGGAATCAAACCTGTGATGGAAGTTCCTACCAACTGAGCCACACCTGCCAGAGCTGGATTAACCATTCTTATTTTAAACTAAGTCAAATGTCAATGTCAAGGTCTAAGACTAAGAAAAACAAAAGCACTCTAATCTATTAAGTTAGCAAGCTGATTAAATATTTTTCTTGCATTAATTTTGATTTCTTCTACTACTATTATGATGTCATACAATTACTTTTTCAAAGAAAAACAAGACATATCGATGCAACAAAAATTTCTGAATTTATCTACTTTATTTTCAAGCTTTAAAATATTGATTTAGTCTACCCTTCCTCCTTTCAAAACAATATTTATCTCCTTCAACTAACAAAAAATGTGAACATTAAGAAAGTAGTTACCAAACTCTGTATTCTTTTTATTATATTTACATAACCAACTCACAGCTTCTTTTATGTAGCCACAACAAACAGTAGCACCAGGCCTTGGTCAATGCTGCCAAAACTATGCTTAAACTACACAGACAGGACAGGGAGAAATAAGCTAAATACAGGTTGATTTAGAAAATAGCTGTTTGGCCTTTGCTGTCATATTTCTAAAAATTACTACGCTTTCTCTTAAAAAGTATAATTTTCTGCCCAATTGGTTCATTATCTGGTCATCTTTTTCTTCTGGGAACGTGTTTTATTATCTTTACTTCTAGGCCTACCAAGATTATATATATACACCTACAAAACAAAGCCTCTGACTAGCATCATTCCCTAAAGGCAAGAGGGTGGATTCTATTCACTTTTGTAGGTCAATGTCACACACACAGTTTTGTATACATTACAGTTCATATATTCTGAATATTAAAAATATTTTTCTCTCACTTAAGATATCTAAAATATTCCATTTGAATCATGCCTGCATTCAACTTTCTACCCATCTCTCCCTACTTCCCCTGCCACCCTCTCCTTTCTCCATTACAAGATTCCACCCAGGGTAAATCACTAGGTAGCAGTTTTCTTTTAGGCTGAGTGACTTTAAAAATGAAGGCTACAAAAGCAAAGACTATGGTGTCTAAGTAATGACAGCCACTAAGCCTTTAAACATCCACTATCACTTCTGTTCCTTCCAACAGCCCTGCTGGAGAGAATATCACTATTTGCATTCAAAAGTAAGAAACTGAAACTTCACGTTAAATTACTCACTGAATTCATAAACTTAATTGACAATAGTCTGGTATCTTGACTCTTCTCTCTCTCTCTCACACACACACTCACACACACACACACACACACCACTCAATGTCAAATTTCTCAAAAGAATCATCTCTACCCTTATTCTTCCTCATCAACCTCCTACTGGTCTATAATCCGCTATGTCAGAGAAACTGTCCTTATCCAAGTCCACAGTATCCAGGTGCTAAATTCAATGGCCAGTTCCCTGTCCTCTTACTGTTTTCTCAGCAGCACTTGAACCAGATGATGACTGACTGAAATATTCCCTTCTTGGCTTCCTAGTAGACACTCTACTCTCCTGCTTGTACCATTGCCTCACTGGCTGTCTCTTCTTTTGCTTTGCTGGTTTCCCCTCCCAACTTCATGTTGAACTGGCCAAAGGTTTAGTTTTCAAACCTCCATCTACTCTCACTAAGTGATGAGCTTATCCAGCCATATGTATTTATTCCTTTTGCTGCCAATAATTTCCAAATATGAATCTCCCTCCTGACCCATGAGCTTCAGACCCATGTAAAAAACTTCTGTTCATCTTTCTTTTTGTCATATCAAGTTTTTTATGGGAAGTCCTCTTTAACAAATATGATGAGTGGCTGGTTTAAATTTTCAAAAGTTGAAAATTCTCTGGGAATCAAAAAAAAGACACATGCCTTAAACATTTTCTTTTATTTAAAAAACAAAGGTTCATTAGTTAGTCAATCTTTTCATATGAGACCAAAGCCTTTCCTTTGAATGTGGGCCCACAAAAAACTGTTCCATATCATCTTTCTTGTATAATCTACAAAACACTGAATTATCCTATGATTTCAAGTTTCATTTTATCTAACAAAGAACAAGCACATAAAAACACTAACATATACTCTGAATGCAGAGTGCGTCTAGATTTTTAAGACTTTTTTCAGTCTTCTACACCTGGCTTGATGATACTTAATTCTATAGCAATTTTTTATAAACCTACTCTACTTTTATAAATTAGTCTTCAACAAACAACTCTCTTAGTTTTTAAATAGGTAACTATTTTAAACTCAATATTCATTAGAGTATATGACACTTAATGAATTATGTAATTATAATGATAAAATAATTAGCATAATGAGGCATTGGGTGGCATAAAATTCAACTAAAAGGAATAAATGAACATGGCATGCTAAAAGATGAAGTATTTCGGATACTATTAACATCAGGTAACATATTTTATGGTGGAAATGGAAAGTACTGGTATTCCAAGTACATTAAAGGGATATGGGCTAAGAAAGTTCTTGATTTTTCACTTCCCACCTCTATCATCATGAAGCCATACCTTCTCCAGGCCTCCTCACACCACTATATGGTAACAGTCAATTACTAAAGCTAAAAGTTTCAATTCCTCTCTTCCTTACTAACATCTAAAGCATCATTAACTCCTGTCTTTCCAGGAACTCTCAAAATGTCTCCTAGATATGTTCATCTCTCTCCATCTCCATCCCCATTATCCACAGTCCAAGTCGTCATTAGTCATTATCTCCTAGCTGATATCTACCTTGCCACGATCTACCAGGTCTTAAAGGAGCTAGCACCTACCTACCTCTCCAGCTTCATCTCTCACCATTCTCCCCTTGGCACTATTCTTTAGGCACACTGACCTTCTTCCCCATTCCTTTACTATGCCAAATCCCTACCAGGGCCATGGCACATGCAGTTCATTCTGCCTAGAACACTATTCCACTCACTCTGAATAAACTCATGTCTTTTTCAGATGTCACTTCAAATGTTATATGCCCTCAGAGAGATCTCTATTGATCATTCTATCTGAAGGACTCTTCCTTTGAGACTTTTTTCCATCTCTGAGTTGCTCTGTATCACATCATAATAGATAGCCATCAAGAAGTTAAAAGCAGAGATGCGATGCTGTCTCATTCACATTTTCCAAAGTACTTTTGGGCTGCTATGTGGAGTATGGATTGAAGGGGGAGGCAAGAATAGAAGTAAGGAAGTTATGATTGGCTGGAAAAAAGTACAAAGGAACCAGAATGTTCTACACCTTAATAGGCACATGTGTTACATGGGTGTATACATTTACACAAATGATTAAATTGCTCACCATATACAAATTTTATCATAGGGTTTTAAAAGAACAAAAGTCCTAAATTTTCTCAGACATCACATGGGACATAAAAAGCCAGAAACAGAACCACACTATTATCCACTCTTACCAAGACCTCCTTATTAAAATGTCTATTTTCCTCCTAAATTCCTACTCTTCTCTGGCAAAAAAATTAAAACATTTAGACGAAATTTTTTATTCATTCTCCAATGTGGCAACACACAGGAAAAAATATGTCACTATGAAAAATGACTTATTATGCATTTATGTATAAGTAAACAATATAAAACTATGACAGAAGGCATGAACCAGTAACAATAAGATGTCAAAGCACATCAAATGACAGTGATGTGAGACAACCATCATGAACTCTGTGATAATGAACCCACAAGCCTGAGCCTGAGCAAGAATGTTGTGGTTTTCAACTTCTTTCTATCCCCCAAACACCTAAGAAATGCCACACATGGAATCACGATGACACACTGATGTATGAAATGCAAACAAAAATGTATAACAATGAGAAACAGAGATGTACAATTACAGTGTATAAAAAAGTACACAAATGCAATATACACATTTCCTTATAACATACTCTACTCCCTGAACAGCCATGTTAAGAGCCACTATCTAAAGCTTCAAGACCTGGATCAGTAGCCATCAATCACATGTAGCTATTGAACACTTGAAATGTGGTGAGGGCAAATGAGATACTGAATTTTTAATTTTATTAAATTTTAATTAATTTGAGTTTTAGAACATACTCACTTCAATTATTGGAATCACTTGTTATGTAAACTACTTTTTCAACTGTTATTTGTATGTGATAGAAATACAGACCAAATTATTTCCAAAGAAAATTTAGTGTCATTATTAAGATGTACTGGAAGAGTAAAACACACTGGCTTAAAAGGCAATACAAAAAAGAAAGCTTAATAGCTAACTAATCATTTTTTCATTGCTTATATTTTTAAGTAATATTTTGGATTCACTGGTTTAAATAAATTATTAAAATTAATTTCACCTATTTCTTTTTACTTTTTAAATGTAATTACTAGAAAACTTAAAAGTATGTATGTGGCATGCATTATATTTCTACTGGATCATACTATTTTAAAGCTCATATATCTAAGTGTAAATTAAAAATATCATTATGATACATTAATGATTAATATTTCAAATACCTCCTGACCTTTTCACTTGATTGTCTTCTTTTCTTTAGTTGAATGAAATCTGTTTCCACCCTTTCTGCCAGCTCTAGTTTCCGCTTGTTTCTTTTAAATGCAGCTAAACTGAATCCTATAAAAGAAATATTAAAAATTACATTTGATAAATATTAGGGCAACTGGGCAGAAGAGATATCCTGAAAAGCCTCTCAGGACAAAATCCTTAAGAATGTTGGATGAAGATTCAGAAAGACTTTTCAATGTATGCTGGAAGTGGTAGGAAAATAAAATAACCTAAGGTTAGAGAAGTAAAATAATAGTCAAATCCAGAGAAAGAAGTGAGTCCTAACAGTAGGTGCCTCTGGTATCTGCTAATGCATAACACAGCCAACTTTGGTTTTGAAGCTTTCTGTGGATAGGGACAAGAGATAAAAACTGGGGACAATGCAGCACAAGGAAACATGCTGGAGATTACCCACACAAAAAAAGAAAGGAACCCCAAAGGGTCACATGACCCTTTGTAAAAGGGAAAACCAGGAAAGGCCACCATATGCAAAGAAACAGGAAACTTGCAAGTTTCAGGCTTGGATTTAAATGTTAGGGAATGCCCTGGTTAGTGTAGCTCAGTGGATTGAGCATCATTCTGTGAATTGAAAGTTCACCAGTTTGATTCCCAGTCAGGGCACATGCCTGGATTGTGGGCCAGGTCTCCAGTTGGGGGCATGCAGAAGGCAACCAATCAGTGTATCTCTCACACACTGATGTTTCTCTTCATCTTTGTCCCTCCCTTCCCCTCTCTCTAAAAATAAATAAATAAAATCTTTAAAAAAATAAATGTAAAGGAAGAAAAGTCTCTCCAGATAATGTTTGACCAGGAAGGGCTTTCAGATGGCCTTAGGGAATTCCTAGTACCTGGGAGGCAAAAAACAAACCGATAAACAAACAAAAACAAAACCCTCAAAAATTATCTTGGTGTGCCAGTGCTTTAAAAATCCACAAAACACACACAAGTGCAAATACTCCCTAGAAAAACACACCTTAACTTACCAGACTTCCGAGAGTTCCAATTAAAATGAGCCCATGGCTTTTAAAAAAAATTCATAAAACATAAAGAAATAAAACACCAAGAAAAAAAAGCTTGCCAAATATCAGGAAGCGTAATTCAACTTAAACACTACAAAGACCTCAGATACTGGAATAATTGGATACAGAATATAAAATATGTTAATGATCATAGAAATAAAGGATGATACTGAAAATATAACAAAGAAACAGAAGATGACAAAATTATCAGGTAGACTTGAAGAAAAAACAAATACAGCTTCTAAAAGTAAAAAAATATAGACATGGTGGTGTGGTTTCAAGGATTGAGTGCCAGATTACGAAGTTATGGGTTGCTGGTTCAAATCCTAGTCTGGGTGCATGCCTGAGTTGCAGGCCAGGTCTCTAGTAGGGGGCACACAAGAAGCAACCACAGATTGTCTATTTCTCCTTCCCTCCCCCTCTCTAAAAAATAAAAAATTAAAATCTTTTAAAAAAATAAAAGTAAAAAAATAATTAAAAATGTAAAACTTGATATACAGATTTAGACAACCAATTAGGTTCACCTGATAAAAGGGAAATTACAAACTAGAATATAACACAAAGAGATTTCTCAAGTTTTCTGATAATGGCAGACTAAATTATTCCAAGTAACTTTCCTACAGAATATTACTAAAAATGTTAGATTAAAATATGAAAAAACACCTTAAAAGCATTTAAAATATTATAAAATTTCCAAGCTAAATTCTGAGAGTAAACTGAAGACTAAAGCTATTACCAACACTGGGAACATTTGCCAACACTAGCATAAATTAGTTTTAGTTAAATGGCATCAAAAAGAGATAAAGTCAAGCCTAGAGCCCATTAAAAGTGGAGTTCTATTGGAGACACTTCCCAGAATAAGCTGGGGATTTAAAGGGCTACTACACTCGCTGCAGGGATGACCCAGAACTATGTAAGTCTGCCTCTAATCTCTATTTCAATATCAAGCACATTCAGGCATGATTGCCTTAGATTATGGCAGAACAGAAGGGGAAAATGGAGGAGAAGGAAGAGAAGGGGAATAGGGGATACTGGAAAGAAAAAAAACTATCCCTGAGAAGTTTGGGGTTGACTGGGACCTCTGCACAGATGTGTAAACATGTGGCCTGGGTAGGTCAGAAAATAAGCTTTCAACCAAGTTTAAGTAAATTCTGATTAATAATGTGTGAAATAATAGTAAATATATAGTGATCTCTGCCCCCAATTCCTGGCACAGAGCTATTAAAAACCTTTTGTTCTAACACTGGGTCTCTGACCCCAGTTCCTGAAAGAGAGCTCCTAAATCCCTTGGAATTTCCAGGATGATATGAATGCCTTTTGTTCTGAATAGGCAACTCTTGGTGGTTTTCTAAATAGCTTCAGAATGGCAATGGGTCACCAAAAAGATAAAGCCATTATTAAAAGCTTGCAACTCTCAGCCCTACACCCACTCTGGGGAAAAAAAAGGACTGGCTATTTAGTGAATCATGCCTACATAATGAAATCTCCATAAAAATTGCCAAAGTACAAAGCCTGGAGAGCTTCCAGGTGACTGAATACATCTATGTGTTGGGAAGGTGGTACACCCAACTCCGTGAGGACAAAACCTCCTGCACTCAGGATCCTTCTAGATCTCACCCAGTGTATCTTTAATTCTGTCTGTTCATTCATATTGTTTAACATCCTTTGTAATAAACTGGCAATCTAGTAAGTAAACTGTTTTCCAGAGGTCTCTGAGACACTAACAAATTAATCAAATCCAAGGAGGGAGCCATGGCAACCCCCGATTTATAACCAGTCAGTCAGAAGCACAGGTGATAACCAAGGCTTGTGTTTGGCATCTAAAGCAGGAGAGGTACAGTCTTATGACTCTGCCTGAACCTGTGGGGCCTGCACTAACTCCATTTAGTGTCAGAATTAACTTGAATTGTAGGACACCCAAATGGTATTAGAGCATTACTTGGTGTAGAAAACCATCACATTTGGTGTCAGAAGTGACGTAGGGAGTTGTGACTGTGACAGTAGTATGAGAGTAAAGGAGAAACAGGAGTATCTTTCCCATTCAGAGTGCACACACACTTGGGAAAAGTAAAAGCAAAAAATAACACCTGGAAAAAGACACCTATATCCTAGACAATGGGTGAGTCTACACAAATAATTATTCAAGGACAATAATAAATATATAGTCAAAGATAATCAGGCACAAAGGAAATGAAGTACCATGAATAAGAACAAGCAGAAAAAATCCCAATGTGTATCTCACATAATGGAATTATTAGGAACAAAATACAACAAGTAGCCTTAAAATGATTAAAAATGAAACAAAAAACATGAAAATGCCATATTTCATATTACAAAGTAAAATAAATTACAGATTCTTAAAAAAATAAACAGAACTCCTAGAAATGATAAAGCAAATAAGCAAAATTAAGATCTCAACTGTACATGTTTGGTAATCAACAGGATATAGGAAAAATATCACTGAATTAAAAGACTGATCAGGGAGATCAAGATGGCAGAGGAGTAAGTGGAGGCTACACTAAACTCCTACCAGGACCATTCTGGAATTATAACTGAAGCATAGAAAAATCATCCTAAATAACCAACTGAACACTAGCTGCAGACAAGCCTTATAACCATGACCAGACAGAAGAAACCACATCACTACAATGAGACAGGTAGAGAGTGCAGGGGAGGTGTGAGAGAGCTGGCTGGGCTACCAAGGGAGGCAGCTGAAGTTCCTGAGGAATATTTCAGTGGCCAGGGGATTCCCCCTGAGGAGTGTGGGGTCTAAACCACAAACTGGACTCCTCAGTCTATTGCACCAGAGCCAGAATGAAACCCAGATAACAGCCAGCTGTGAAAAGCTGCAGGGTTTCTGTCTGCCAGGGAGAGAGAGCTGGAGACGCACAGAGCCTCTTAAAGGGTCACACAAAAATTCCATTTGTACACCTGGGCTCCAGCAGAGGGAAGGCAGAGTAGAATGGAGACACATGAGAGTCTGGGATTGGTGGCTTTGGAGAGAGAACTTAAGGGACAGCTGCCAGAATCTCTGTGCTAAGTCATTTTCCATACTGCAGAGGCCATTATACTCAGGCAGAGCACTCCTCTATGACTGGCATCTGACTGAGGGGAAGCAATAGCTCCCCCTAAAGGAATTACTCTACCCAAACCTCTAGAGCTTAAGCCTGGTTGCTGATTACAGCTTGATAAATTTAATAACTGATCAGTTCAGCAACTGCTTAGCAGCTAAGGCAGAACAATAAAGAAGCAGTCAAAATGGGAAGACACAAAAAAGACTCCCAAATGAAAGAGCAAGAGAATTCTTCACAAGAAGAAATAGATGAAATGAAGCAATGTATCAAATAGAGTTTAGAGTAATGATTATAAAGATACTAAACAGCATGAAAAAGACAGAGAAACCACAGGAAAAAAAGGGCCAGTCAGAAATAAAGAATACAGTATGTGAAATAAGTAATACACTGGAAGAAGGAATAATTAGTAGGTTAGATAAAGCTGAGGATCAAATCAGTGATTTGGAAGACAGAGTATAAGAAACACCTACACAGAGCAGGAAAAAAAAAAAGACAATTAAAAAATGAGGAGAGCTTAAGAAACATTTTGGACACCATGAAGCATAACAACATCCACATCACGAGAATACCAGAAGGAGAGAAGTAAGGGGAGCAAGGGATCGATAACCTGTTTGAAGAAATAATGACTGAAAACTTCCATAATCTGCTAAAGGAAAAAGATATAGTAAGTCCAGAAGGGTTGGAAAGTCCCAAACAAGTTGGATCCAAAGAGGCATAATTGAGACACATCATAATTAAAATGACAAGGATTACAGACAAGGAGAGAATCCTAAAACCCACAAGCAAAAAGCAGGTAGTTACCTACAGGAGAGCACCAACTTGAGTGTCACCTGATTACTTAACAGAAACATTTTAGGCCAGAAAGAAGTGGCGTGAAATATTCAAGGTGATGAAAAGCATGGACCTATAACAAAAGCTACCTTAACTTGCAAGGATATCATTTAAAATTGAAGGAGAAATAAGAAGCTTCCCAGAC